AGGATTTTTCTCAGCTAAAAGGCATTGGAATTTTGCTGCTTGGCCAGACTGAAGCTCCTTTGGATGCGATTCATCTTAAAAAGGATCTACTATGGATAAAGTGGATCCATGGAAATTACCTACAGAGGTTCAATATTTGGTCTGTTCCATCCAAGACAAATGATTCATGGACATGGAGGCAACTCCTTAAAGTGAGGGATATGTTGTTGCACAAGTTTGGTAATGTGGATAATATTGAGGCTGCTATGACTAAATGTTTTGCTGAGGGTAAACTCCACTTATCTGCAGTTTATAAGTCCCTTATCCAGCCTTTGATTACAGTGCCCTGGGCTAAAACTGTATGGGATAGTTTCTTATATCCCAAGCACTCTTTCATTTTGTGGCTTGTTTGTCATTCAAGGATTCTCACTAAGGATAGATTGTGCCGAATGGGTATCTTGAGCACCAATCAGTCTCACTGTGTTCTGTGTGATAGGCAGGAGCTGGAGACTAGTAGCCACATTTTCTTTGAATGCCAATTTTCAGCTGAAGTTTGGAATTCAGTGTTGGAATGGCTGAAATATAGATGGAGATCTTGTGTATGGAGCTTGGTTTTGAATTGGTATTCATGTAATTTGAAAGGAAAAGGCCCTATAAAGAAATTGAAGAGGATGTGTTTATCCACTGCAGTCTATATGATCTGGAAGGAGAGAAATCGAAGAATTTTTCAAGGCAAAATGAGTCTCCCTGCTCAGGTTCTAAGAGAGATCAAATTCTCAGTTTTTGCTAAAGTTTACAATGATTCTTCTAATGTACATATGAAAAATATCATTGAGGAACTGTAATTTTTTCTTGATTTCCAGTTTTACTGGAACTTAGTTGTACTCCTCATTCTCAATTGGAAAATGAATAAAATTAAAGTTCATTGACCAAAAAAAAAACAAATCCAAAAGGTTATAGGTCTTTGATTCAGTTGGCCTTTTGGTCCAGTCGGAGTGAAACAAATAAGGCAGATATTTAAGCGGCTCACTTCTGTCTAATTGGAAGGACTAAAAAAGTTGTGAATAACAAGGTTTAAAAATAGTTCAATACAAGTTTAAATTTACTAAAAAAAATAAAAATTTTTAAAGAAAAACTCTTATATAATTGTAAGTTTACAGAATTCCATATCTACAGTACTAGGTTTCTAAAAGTGGGCTTGCATGTTTTAAAACATTTCTGCCCTAAAATCGCCCTTCGAAACACCATACATACACAACAGTAAAAATGCATGGCTTTCCATTACATAAAATCATATTCATCACTCATTATGCAGTACTCATATGTACATAGCATTAAGCCCATCAACATATTGAATCTTATTTCATTGAACTTTTATTTACGTTACTTAAGAGATGATAAACAAGCCAAAAGACGCGCCAAAATAAGAGTGCATTATTTACTTCCACAAGATTTAGCTTTCTTTTCCTTTTACCGCCTTTAGAGCGTTTCCTAAAATTACTTTGACTTAAGTTGGTTGAATTTTAGAAAAATTATAGAATATAAACAGCCTAAAAAACGGTTCGCATTTGCCGTAAGATTAAGTCATAGTGGTTTAATTTTTACTTTATAATTGAGTACAACACATTTTACGTGCATAGAAATTTAGCTTCTTTTTCCTTTTAACCTTTTTTTAGAGGCTTCTAAAAAGGGAAATGGTAAACAGGCCAAAAAAACGGGTTAAAAAGAAGGTCAGTATTACTTCCATAAAATTTTATGCTTCTACTCCTTTGTTTAGAAGAGCAGATTGGTTGGACGAAATCGAGTTTATAACCTGTTTCAGATTTAATGGAGATATTCATGTTATACGAGTGTCATATTACTAAAAAACGGTTACAATTTTAAATGATTATATAAATTCTATCCATTGTACACAACTTCAGATCCTACAAAATTCTTACCAGATTCCTACCAAAAAATTAGAACATCGGGAGGATAGTGGAACACAGACAAGTTATGATTTCAAAAAGGTTTTAGGGTAAAATCATCGTTTTTTTTCTGGTAGAAGTAAGTTAGGGATACTTTTTTCACTATAACTATGCTTCTATAGATAATAAAATGATTTCTCTGGTTTCATTGGAACACAATAGGGTATTTCACATGGAATAATTACATTAAAACCTGATACGGTTTTTAGGGATTTTATTGGTAGTATAACAGCCAAAATAACAACCAAAAAACGCCAAAATAAGAGTCATTATTTACTCGCAAGCAAAATTTAGCTTTCTTTTTTCCTTTGTAACCTTTTAGATCTTCTAAGAATGCTTGAGCTAATAGGTTAATTAGAAATATAGAATATAAACAGCCTAAAAAACAGGTTCCATTTTGGCTAATTAAGTTCAGGTTGAGAATTTGCTTTTAAATGAGTACAAATACGGTTACGCCATTAAATGTAGCTCTTTTCCTTTTTAACCTTTTAAGAGCATCTAAAAGAAATGTAAACAGCAGAAAAAACAGTTAAAAGAGTCATTTATTACCTCAGTAAATTTGTCAGCTTCTACTCCTTTTTTTTAGAAAGAGTAATTACTGACGAAATCAGTTAAACATTGTTGCAAATAGATGGGAAGTAAGTCATTATACGAGCATTATTACTAAAAACGGTTACAATCTGAAATATTATGTATAAATCTAATCCATACAACAACTTCAATCCTAACAAAATCGTTACCAGGAATTCCTACCAAAAAAATAGAGAACAGGAGGATATGGAAACAACAAGTTGTGATTCAAAAATGTTAGTAAAATCATGTTTTCTTGCAAGAAAGTAGGATACTTTTTCACTATACTATATTTGCTTCTATAGATAATAAAATGATTTATCTGTTCATGAATGCAATAGCATTTCACATGGAATATTACATTAAAACCTAATCACGGTTTTAGGATTTTTTTGGTAGTATAACGTACATTTGTCTAATTGTTCTGTTGGAGGAACAGGAGGTCTTGAGGATACAAATCAATTCACTTTATGTAATATAGAGACTTTAGCATTTATAATTAATTTGATGATTTTTTTCAAAAGCAATGGAGTATAAATGTTCGTGTCTTACGTAATACTATAGACTCATTTAAGAATGGAGAAGGGAAGAAGCAAAAGTTGATTCTAATTGATGAAGAGGTGATACGAATTTTATACATTGTTATTATTCCATATAATTTTTATATTACCGTGATGACGTGATTTATTTTCAATTGTGTATTTTGCAGGGAACACTTATCCAAGCAATTTTATTTAATGAATTAATAGAAAAGTTCAGCGGTTTATTGATAAAAGGAGAAATGTATACTATAACAAATGGAGAAGTGAAGCCTCCAAATTTGAAATATACAACAACTAATCTAGATAAGGAGTTGGCTCTAACAACAAAGTCAATCATGCGAGAAACAAAAAACTTTGTATCATTGGAGAAGTTGAAACCAACATTCCTTTCATTTAAAGACGCTTCTACTTTTGATGATGGAAAAATGTCTTTTAGTAAGATTTTTTAAAAATCTAATACTACAAAGTTTCTTTTACATATTAATAATCACTAAAAATTTCTTTATTGCAAATGTTTTTGGATTCGTAATAACTGTCAAGCCAATATTTAGCAATCACACTTCCAAAAGAAGGGAGGTCATAATTATGAATAAAGAGTGAGAATTTAATATTAGTGTTTATTATTATGTACAGATTATTTGTAAAAATTCTAATATT